CACGCACCACCCAACGATGGGGACTTCAGCGCCTTCACGTTGGTGGCAACTTACGTCGGCCCTCCTCCGGTGCCAAGCCAGTGGCAGGAGTACACGTTAACAACTCCCATTTGCTCGCGTTACGTCGTTATAAAAAAATCCGCCAAATCTCCGTACCCAACGTTCCTATTGGAAGTCCTGGAGGTTGAGGTTTGGTCCTCTTACTGAGAACTGAAGATCTCGTTCTCTCGTTGATCATGTCGATCGATGGAATGGTAAACTTTGATCAGATTTCTAGAACGCATCAGTGCCTCAGGTTTAAAAATAGTTTTCGACAAGGGACTGACGATTCAAGCCGCACAAATTCTTCGCTATTAGAATAAAGATAAAAAAGGCTTTTCGTCTAGGTTCAATATTTGGAATAAATGAGAATGCTAATCTTAAAAGAAGATTCATGAATAAAGATGACTGAATATACAATATATCAGATATCTGTTCATCTCTAGGTCATCTCTGATATCTCTATCTGTTCATTCAGATATCTGTATCAGATATCTGTTCATCTCTTCGATTCGAAACGTGCTTCAAACGTTTCGTTTATCCTTCTGACAAGAGTTTCAACATTCTACCATATTTAGGGTTGACATGATGAAATTTTTATATTTTGTTTCTTTTAGCTTCTCACATTCGTACTTGAATTGTAATTTAACCCTTTGCAGGGATTTACTCGTATATTGCACAGCTAAAAGGGTAGTGGAACTTTTCTATCAAAACAAACATTACTCTAATTTCTGCGATATTTGAACTCATATTTTTAACCTGTTATTTACCGGGTACGATGATTCACCATGCAGCGCTCATTGATCTTATCATTGATTAGCGCAAATTAGCAACTTCACACTTGTACACCATTTTAACTTAGACACGTGCAAAATATCATCGCTAATAATATTTTGACCTTTTAAAGAATGTGTTAATTTACAGTAGTTAAAGCACACTAGAGCCCACAGCTAAATTTTAAGCTACCATGTTATTGCACGTTTGCTCGCTAGCAGAATCACGCGAAACTTTATTGAATTTCAGAAGTGATAATAGTCAACTAAAAAAATTGGAGTGAGCAGCGTGCCCGGCACTGACATATTCAGGATATGACGCACTGCGTGATGACTGTGTACGGTAATTTAATGGCTAACAATTCGTGAAAGTCCGAACACGAAATTACTTATTTCAAATATCAACGGGCATTTCCTACATTGAAGCATAAAAGAACTGGAAATAATTTGACAATAGCATCAAGTTAGTATAATTGAAAAATTTCGAATTTAGCGGCACCATTTTTCCACTTATTGTGAAACTGAATGATAGTTTCGAAATGTCATTTGTCATAAAAAAATTTGACCAGATTAAAAGTAATCAACCAAAAAATTTCACAGAAAATTTTTAAATTCTAGTCGCACAGCAGATATTGACTACTGAAACAGTCAAGTACAATACTTGACCTGGCTAAACTAACCAGCAGATGTTTTGGAGGGTGAATTGTCCTGTTTGTCATTTTATGCTACCTTATACATTTATTCCCATGGCATACTGGTGCAAAATTTCAACCTAATATAAAATATAAAGGAACGAAATTTACTTTTATTTCTCGGCTCAGAAGGGATTTTGACTGTGTCAAATTTCAAATAAATTTGCAATACATTTCGGTTTCTTTTATTGCTTACCTACTAATTTTTTTAAATTCCGTACCTAATTTTGCGTCGAGACAGAGTATTTAATAAGTAATGTGCGTTTAAAAAGTAATTTTTAATGACCACACTTTTAATGAGACCGGTGTCTCCGATGTCACAAAAACAATGAATTTCTTATTTTTTGTTTACCTATTAAATTATTTTTTTCTGTCAATTTATTTATGCATTATCTCCGACTTTACGCAAGTGTGCAAAATTTTAGACTGATTGGACAGGTAGAAGTGTGTTAAGTATCGATTATCAGATTTGCAGCAGACAAACAACAACAAGAAGTGAAGTTAAAGAGAAGTGTTGTAATAATAATAAAACTGTAGTTAGTAAGTAATTCCTCGGTACTAATTGTTTGCTACTTTTGAATGCGAGAAAATATTCTTAACTTTGAATTTGTGACTGTTTCAAACTGGTGAATGTGAAATAATGTTTGGAACTGGGGAATGTGAGAGAGCTGACGGGAGAGCGTGTCCGGCTGACGGGAGATCGTGTCCGGCTGACGGGAGAGCGTGTCCGGCTGACGGGAGAGCGTGTCCGGCTGACGGGAGATCGTGTCCGGCTGACGGGAGAGCGTGTTCGGCTGATAATTTTAATTTCTCTAATGAAATGATACTCGATAGACAATTGATAAGGCGTAAGATCGAATTCTGCACTTGCCTTGATAGATGCGTGTCTCAACGTTTTTATGGCAGGGCATGCAAGCTATTCGGTATAGTAGTTCAATTCTGAGTGAGATCCGAGTTCTACCATTAAGTCAAAATTCTATTTATATTGAAAGTATTTGCATATCTTCCAGATAAGCTGTTCGCTGCTAGCAGCTTCTCGCCGCTGCTCGTGCAATTATTTAGAACGGAAATTATTTTCAATCTCTCCACTAAAATTAGAACTCCGAAAAAATTACGGAATTGAAGTTGGAAAAAATCTCATAAGTCATCCATTTTTCAGATGCATGACTTTCCATCCGAACTGCAAAATAAAAATACTTATTTCTTGAATACTAAAAATTCCACAGCGAGGTCGATCAGTTGGAAGTCAGGTAGGTCGTGCGGTCACAATTACAATTCCAATATTTGGAAAAAATTAGTATGAAGGAGTATCAGAGGAATGGAAGATTAGGAAAATTTAGAGTAATGTTGAGTCACTACTTAATTTTAAGTACTGATTAATACTTAATAATTAAGTTGTTGCTCAGTATTGTAAGGAGATTTAGGTTAACAGGACAAACAGTTTAAGGGGAGAATATCCCTAAAAAAAATTTTTTTATTTATGGACGGAGAAAATCTAAGACAGACTTTTTTGTTCGTGTACATTTTTTATAAAAAATTAAAGAAAACGTGAAATTCATAGGAAACTGGGAATTATTCTTTTTTTAAATCTATCTACTCATTCCATTAACGTGCTACAACATCGAGATACATATTATTCGATTCGTAAAAACCATATCTAACGATTCACCAATTGATTTTTCAAAATTCACATTTGTTTGGGTTCGGGGGGGGGGGGGGACTAATAACTCACAAAATCAGTAAACAACATGAAAAATCGTTTGGTGATATTTATATTTGATATCTGATTATTTAGTAACATTGATTTCGACTATGTAATCGTTCAAATAATTTAGTAATATATTTATATATGAGATCTGCTGGAAGTGATCCGGACGAGTTGACAGTGCCTGCACGGCCTGTCGATGAGCTCTCAGGCATCGGTAACGTTGATTACATGCATCGTTACTTGGAGAGAAAAGCGGCTAATTTTAATTGTATTCAGAGAGGCTTGGTAGTCTTTTGAGGACCTTATTAGAAATTCATTGCAGAGCTGACACCTGCTTGCTCGACGGGTTACGAGTTTTGTTCAATGGTGAAATCAGAAGCTGCCAGCAAAATACGCGCGAGCAAAACACACGTATTGAACATTTGTGACATCTGTGAAAGTAAAGACGTTTTCTAGAAATTTCGGCGCCCGACTTTTAAGACTAAATTTGTACATAATTTGGAGTATGATGTGGAATATTGGTATTTGTTAGTATTGGATTAGTACTCGGTTAACATAAAACAAGAAATTCAATTCACCAACTGATTCAACAAAGCAAAAATAGAACACAGCGTAACTTCTTTAGGTAAGAGTGTTCAATGATTTATGCACTATACCAAAATAAGCGTTAATAGCTGTTAATCTTGATTGCAACTCAGCACGATCGCCAAAACCATTTCTTGGAGTTGGAGGCGCTGAGATGTAGGATCAGTGGGCATCGGCGATTTAGTGAAAGATATGTTGAATCATGTGATTTCCCTTCACTTGATAGGAAGGGACACAAACGCGAGTGTAAACTGTTATCTGATAATGTTGCGGCCTGTCAAAAATTTTATTCTAGAACAACTTTTCATCTGCTTGATTTTTGTTTAAGTTCCGATACTTTATAAGAAGCAATGAATTATATTGACGCCTTGTGGTCAGAGAGTAGAGCGCTTTGCGTTAAGCCATCTATTGTCTTGTCTCTAAACTCACTTGTAAACAAAAGTAACGTTCCTCTTTAAAAGATAAAATATATTTATTCTTCAGTAAATAAATAGAAGTAAAAATTTCGGAGTATATTGCCAACTTTGGCTTTATATCTACTGTATCAAGAATGATAATATAATATTTGCTGTAAAAAAAGGTCAAAAAACCTTGAAGTTGTTAATATACCGGCGCTGTGACGTGTGCATCAAATTTCGTGCCAATTGATTCCTGATGCCACTAAATACAGTGGTTTTGAATCTACGTTCAGCAGAGCAGAACAAACATACGTTGCTAATTAAGTCAAAAGTGTATCTATAGTTCCAATGCTCCGTAATTGCTTGCATCGCGACATAGAATTCACATGCCTCGCTATCTTTCAGCTCTCTGTAGAACCCGTAATGTTTCGCACTAGCATCGCAGGTTCGCCTTATCGAATTCAATCGTAATACGAGTAGCCAGAATAAAAGCTGGGGCAGTGGTTGGCGCGATATTTTAGGCAATAGTTCCGGTCAGTGATTCGCCTTGATACAAGTCGTATGCTGGTGGTGGAAAATTGATCTGCAGTTCTCATTAGAGGAGTCGCCTAAGATTTTCCCTCTGATATTGGAAAGGATTCGTTAAATTTTCTTTATATACAGCTCCAGTAAATTCTACATTTCGAACCTGATACGGACCTCGAGCTATATGAAATTAAAGCATCATTAGATCTTTGGTGAATTCCACCTAATAAATTTAATGTTAAGCTAGGAATGTACAATTAAATGGGAAGGAGTAACACTGTTTGAATTTATACATCTTTATTTTATGCGAGGTTCACTTCTCATGAAACGCCGAAGGATCTTATTCACATAATACATCCAAAGCGTACCTGCAAAGTCATGCCTTTTTAAATGAGTTCACTTCAACTTATTATTTGGAAACAAATTCCACACGTGAAACAGATTAGTTTAACATTTGCTAATTTTTTTAGCAATTTCCGAATCCACAGCAAACTGATCACAAAAAAGTAAATCTAGCAAAAAAATATTAAATTCTCACAAAAAATGGTTTCAGATTCAGAATTACCGATTGAAACGGCACATGGTGCTCCTGAGGGCCACGGCCACGCCCAAGACTTTAACGGAATCCTCGTTGGCAACAAGCGAACTGTCATCGAAATGCTCGTACACTAGCCGCACTATTTCACTAAACTCGGAAGCGTCAGCGTCGGTGTTGACACACAACTCGAAAAATGAGTCGGAAAAATCTAAAAGTCGGAAGAGTAAGCCAGAAAGTTTGAGTCGTGCTTCTTGTATTCGGTCTTCCTCAATAAGTGACTTGGGAACCAATTCTTTGTCGTTGAGTTTCTCAAAGGCCAACTTAAGCGCCACTTTATCGTCATATGAGAAGAGTGAGAGCAAATTTAGGCAGTCGGCTCTAGCGGATATGATTTGGTCGAGTAAGTTCTGAGCCTGGAAAGCAAGATACCCCAGAGCATCAGGAAGTTGAGATAAAAGACGCAGAGTTGAAACAACAGAACAAAAGTCCCTATGCGATGCGTAGAAAGCATCGCTGCCTTCATCAACGAGTCGTTTCTTGAGCAGCAAGTCGAGGAGCATGTCATTATTAACCTTGACGTCTCGTAATAAGTCCAAGCACTGATCACGGGTCACGCTAAATGACATCAACTTCTCCATGATAACAAAATTTTCGTGATGTATACTTCGGTTACGCAACCGAAAGTCTTCACTTTCAATGTCAACATCCGTGTAACTGAAGAGCCGAGGAGTCGCTTGGGCCGAGTTGTAGGGATCGCAGTTTTCGAGTATCATGGCCAGTATCGCCAGACAAATAGATTTCTTGTTGTGCCACTCATCGTCCAGCATTTGCTTCAGCTTCCTCCTCCAGTATATCAAGAAGCCATCAACGTCGAGAGAGGACGAATCAAGCCCAGCACAACTATCGATGAAAAGACGGCGTTCTCTTTGGTACTCGGGATGCGTGGACGGGTCAGCATCGTACCTCTTGGTACGTCGTTTGTGAAGGATCTGAAGGACCTCTGTCGCCGCTTTAGAACAGACTTTCAAATTGTCTTGCCATCTGTAATATACAAATATTTTACTCATACAGGTTAGGACAATTATATTTCTCCAACAATTTCAATTTTTACACATAAAAATTTAAACTGTGGTAATCATCCAGTGAGGTGAAGTTAGGAAAAAGATACATTTAAATTAGTCAATAGAATTTTCAGCAGGCTAGATGTACACACATAAAAAATTGATTCTAAAATATGAAATTTGAAAGAAGGATACCGAAGATAACGTATAGTTAGGTTTAGGTATTTCATTGGAGACATAATCATAACTTGCATTCAATAGTGGGATCTACGAACAATGAAATTCATTCCTCCAAATTCTCAAGGACTGACGCTTATTTTCGGTCGGGATCGACCCACCAATAGATTTGAAAGAAGTTAGTAAATGTAATAAGAAATTAAACAAGTTAGGTAGTTTCATTCTTTACATGCACTTGTACAACATGAATACTTGATAGTAATGCCAGCTAATCGATTTTTTTTTTCATAGTATGACACGAGTTTTCAAGACGCATATGGAATTGAAAATTAGCAGTGTTATTTCCCAGAAATCTGACATGAGTTATCAAGACGCATATGGAATTAAAAATTAGTAGTGTTATTTCTCAGAAATCGAACTAAAAAAGTAATTGAATAAATACGTAATTTGTGAAGGGAGGAATTGATACTATCTTTTCGAGAAGCAATACCGTAGCAACTCACCCTATGGCAGGAGCCTCTGACGCAGAAGGTCCTGGTAGCGCTACCCGAGACCCAGAAGAGTTTCCGGAGACCTTTGTTTCTTTCCGCTCTTTCCGTTCTCCTGCAGGTTTCTCAGAGAGGCTGTATTCGCGGAATCGAGATCTTGATAACAGAAAATCATCATGAAATTCGAGTTGACGGGAATCTTTCCGAGACTGTGATCTAGGGAAACGTACATCTCGTGATGGTGAACGGCGATCTTGTAAATCTTGGGATCTAGGACGGCAGTCTAGGTCGCGAAGTGAATATTCTTCTGACTGAGAATGTTTGCGAAGTAAATTTTCACGTGACCGCGAACGGTCGTGACGTAAATGTTTACGTGATCTAGAACGGGTGCGACGTAAATATTCACGTGATCGAGAATTTACAGATCGAACATCTTTGAGTGCATATGATTCTGGTCGGTTCAAATATTCTCTCGAAGAATGAGGATCACGTACAGAATCGGAATATATGTTAAAATTATCGAAACTTCGCTTGTTCGTAGCATCTAGAATCGCAGGTTGACCATCCAATTCTTCGCGTGTGGACGAGATGTTTTCTAATGGATCATGTTCAGAAAGCGGTTGCTCGAACACTTCTTCGCCTGTCGATGAGATGTTTTCTAATGGATCATGTTCAGAAAGCGGTTGCTCGAACAATTCTTCGCGTGTCGACGAGATGTTTTCTAGTGGATCATGTTCAGAAAGCGGTTGCTCGAACACTTCTTCGCCTGTGGACGAGATGTTTTCTAATGGATCATGTTCAGAAAGCGGTTGCTCAAACAATTCTTCGCGTGTCGAAGAGATGTCTTCTAGACGATCAAGTTCATTTCTTGACGCAGTTCGTGGCACCTCATGCCATAATTCTTCAAGGCATTCGATGCTAGGTTCTCGAATATGTTTATTTAATGTGAGCGAGTTCTTGTTAGATCTAGAGTGTGCATCATCTTCAAAGCCAATATTTTTTTCATTTGATCCAGATGGACGCAAAGAAGGAGATCGCTGGTGTTGCGGACTGGCGTAATAATTTACGACTCGCATGGGAGAAGATCGACTTCGGGAACGAGCGGTCCGCTCAGAAAATTGGAGCTTTTCCCTATACTTTCGGTCACAATCCCGTTGCTTCCTGCCACCAGATCTGAATCTAATTTGAAGCTGGTGCTGGTTAGAGGTGTTCAACAAAAGGCGGAGGTCTGTGCAGCGGCAAGGGAGGTCATGCTCTTGACTTTTTCGTTTTGTACAACATTTTTTGTGCACCCGTATATTGTCTCGGGAACGCTGGTGATGTGATGACGATTCATTCACACGATGATATCGGTGTGAAACATGTTTTTTATGTTCTCTACTTCCTTCACGAGTATGTTTATGATATGATGTCGTATTGGAGTTGGATTTCGGATGCGAGCGATAATAAGGACTAACTGTATCACGGCTTCGACGTCTATGTAACAACGGTTTCTCGTTATGGCTTCGTCGTCCTCGGGACTTCTCAGGAGAGCTTGAAGTATATCGACGGCGATGAGAGTTGGACTGTTCGCCTCGTCTTGAATTCGAAATTCTGTCTCCGGAAATTGATGACAAGGGATCGAGTTCTTCCAAGTGGCAGACCCGTTTTTTAAAAACAGGAACACCTGCGTCCGTGTACCAGTCATCAAGTGATTTGATAATGCATTCATTTTCAATTGATTGTTCAGTCATATCACCAGTGGAAAACTCGGCGTTCGTCCGATCGTGGTAATTCCTAGTGGTTGAAATGGAATGGTCCAGGGAGGAGGGAATTTCATTTCCAACAGCATAACTGTCGGCAATGAGAGACGGTACATGCTGATTAGAAGCTGATTCGACGGAAAGTATCTGAGACGCATCAACTGCCACGAAAGGACCATCACAAACACCAGTTAGATTACATGTAGCCATTGAGGCTTCGCAAGCAAAGGGTGCTGCAGCACATGAAACTGATGGTTCATCACATGCAATTGCTGGAGGATCGCAAGCATTGTTTAGACTATGCACGTCTCCCGCTGGTTTCAGACCAAATTTGCTCTCTGAAGTCTGAGTTAGACCTTCAACAACTGGCACTTCAATAGCAAGCCATGATATATTTGGCTTAACATCGATAATTTTACAATCATCATCGGCATCATCGGTTAAGTCATCCGAGTTTTGTTTGGTGTTGCTGGGATTTGACGCGAGAACATTGTTGAAGAACGCATTATCAATAAACGCTAACTGGTTCATTGTACTTACTGCCAGTTTCGCCAAGCCCAGGGAATTCAAGTTCATTCCATCGGGCATGAAGTTGGACACACATTGGGGATCGGTGACATCTAGAAAGTCAAAAGCATTAATGTTCAAAGCGCTTTTGTCGCGAATGTCTGTAGAAATTGCGTGATTCAGATCTTCAACCGACGCTGCAAGATTTTTGTTCTGCAATTCTACGAATTCCAAAGAAATTGTCGGTTTTAAATCATGACCCGTGTCTTTTATGTGTTTCTTGAGCAAGTTGTCGAAGATAATTTCAAACTTGATGCAGTGAACGCAGCTAAATATTACGAGGGAGTTGGGGAAGGTTTCATGAACTGCTCGCCGGAATTCACCCATCCTTGGAATTACAGTTGACTTCACCCAACTGGATCCATCCTCCTTGAATTTGCAACATGGATACTTAAGAACTTCGTGATTTGCACAGCTCTGAATTTTTTCAACACTTAGTAAATTACGGATGCTGGGAATGAACAAGAAGGCAATGCGGTCTTCCGTGGAATTTATATTTTTCAACTTGTCAACTAATTCAGTAGGTTTCAGAACTCCGCAGACTTCAATCGAAGGCCGCAGTGAGAATGATGAAGGCCAAACATCACCGAGATTCTTCATTTTTACATCACAAATGACAACTAGCTTAGAAATTGGAGATTCCAAAGCAGGAATGCTCGTGGGCGGGAACTCCGCTATTTCAAGAGATGAATCCAATTGGTAAGTGTGGGTCAACTCGCATATTTTAGAGCATATTGAGAGTAGGTCTTTGTCAGTAAAATCTCTATCGATTGCATGAGATGACAAGGAGCTCACCGAGCAGTGGTCTCCTCGGAAATCTTCATCCCATGGAAACAGATTCCAAGATGGAAGTCCAAGTATGGAGCTCAATTGTGAGTTGATCACAAAATTATTCACTTGAAAACAATGCCACAGAAATTTTCGCACAAGGTTAACTTTTTCACTCTTTTCATTGGTGTCAAATACATCATAGCCTGAAGAATTTTCAGTGGACATTTCTTGAGTCAAGTTGTCCGTAGGGATGTTCAGGCATTTTTGCATAAGATGCCATCCAGCCGGGATAACATGAGCAAACACAACATCTGCCCTGTTCCCAAAAGAGGTTTGGATCGATTTGTAAGCAGATAAGAAATGATCTGAAGTTGCTCTCTCAATGTGCAAAGCCATGGTTTTGGGAGTCTTGGAGTTGGACTCAACACATTCTTCTTGATCTTCTCCAACCCAAACCTCACTGAGACGGAGCAGCACCACGAACAGGATCTTCTTAAATGAAGCTGGAACTTGGCTCAAATAAGTGTCAATAATATGGCTCACATCAGAGAGCTGCAAATCCATTTTAGTAATAATGGTTGGAATGAAGGAAGCATTGTGAGGCCAGTAATTGTGAAGATTCTTTAGGAGTATATCAGAAATTATAACAATTTCATGAAATCGTCCAGCTTGAGTAGAACGTCCATGCTCCTGCAAAGACAATTATATATCTTAGTGTGATGTATATAGGTACCTATATACCTGTACATACATTCTATAACAAAGAGTGCACTTTAAAACATTACCATACAGATAAATTAAGAACATTTTATAAATTAAATATTCATGAGGAAATTTCAACTTGGTTGAATACATTTTGTACCATTTCCAGTGAACAGTACAAACAAAAATGACCAAGTTATAGCATTAGGTATGGTATATAAATAATTGCGGAGAGCTAATATGCAATGAAGAGTTGATGTAGAATGCAGCATTTGCCTACACTAGAAAAAAATCTTTGGTATTTAAAAACTTCATTTGGGCTTTCCATATTAATTATATTTCTCAGAATTACAGGCAATTATATGTTCAAATAATTATATGAATACAATAAAATTATACAAAACAACTTACCACACTGAAGCTCAGGAGAGCCTTGCCCTGTGAATTTTGTTGAGTAGAATCCAAGTGTTTTAGAATTGAGTGGAATTCAGTACTTTTCTTAGCACCCAACAATTCATGAGCATTGCTGGAAACATCTGATGCCATGATTGCTTGCTTATACAATCCTAATGATCATAACAGAGAAGCTCACACCTAAAGCAATAGCATGCCTGAAAATAATCTGTAAAGAAGAAATATACATGAAAAATGAATTTATTAATATTTTTTAAAGCTATGTTACACTCAGATTGTAACCCATTAGCAGGCTAGTCTTAGACCAAAAAGCATCAATGGTTACATGCAAGGACAGATAAAATATGAGAGTATCTACAATGGTTCAAATTTTGAAATGAATTTTTCAACTATAAAATGTGTAAACTTATTATCAACCAACAAGTAAAACATATTATTTTAGTTTCTAAAATATTGTTTACTAAATCTTTCTGCATATGGGTAAAGTTCATCCATATCATAAGGCACATCTTCTATGCTATGGAGCAAGGTGCAATTTTTTAGTTGATATAAAAAATGGCATTTTGAGATTTCAGACTGATCAACAGACAATTTGGCAGCACACTAGCCCCCCCCACCACAAGACACAGCTGCCTACTAAATAAAAAAAAAACAGCATTACCAATAACAGTTCAATTGACAAGAAATTTGATTTTTTTTAAATAAAAGTACGTATTGAAGTCAGGCTGTAAGTCATTAAGGGGAGCATCTTGATCAAAAATTGAAAATTTTGGATTTTATGGTTTTAAAGTTCATTTTAAAGTTCATTTTAAAGCTCAGAAAAAAGCACATCCAATGACTGCAATCTCGTCTATGTGTACTTGTTTGTTCACCCGCCACAGCCGATAAAGCGCAAATAAAACCTATACTTTCAATGATAAAAAATTTCAGTTTTTTGGCTCTCCTGAAAAGTTTAATGTTTCATATTTAAAAACCTATCTCCTATGATTTTCTAGCTAAAGCATTGAGAGATATACCATTCGATCCACAAAGAAAAGATCTAGAGAATGGTTGTATCTTTTTTGTAATTTCATTTTTGTTTGGATTATACAAAAAAATAATATAATACCAACAAACATTTTTAATAATAATACCCACCCAAAAAAATAAGAACTTTGAAAAAAGCTACGACAAATTGCTAGATATGGTCTTTGATGATGATGTAGCTTGAAAATCCTAGGAGATAGATTTATACAGTACATATATCCCATTTTTACCAGTTCAAACAAATTTCACATTTTCTTTCATTTTTTTTTCAATAAATTTACATGAACAAACAAGTTTTAGATTTCTCTTGTACAGATGTGAACCCAGTTTCAAAATGATACGTCCATAACTAAAAAATTTTTTTTTGACCAAGATGCTCCACTTGAATTCCTATGAAATATTAAAAATTTATGTTACTGCATACCGTCAAAAGGGGTAAAAAGGGACGGATTTGAGCGTTTTTTGTTAATAACTTCTTACCATGAAACATTTCAGAAACAAGTTTAGGCTCATTTTATAGCTCTTTGCAAAGGCTATCCAATGGCATCTTCAAAAAAATTCCATATGCTATTTATAAGGTGCCAGACGCAAAATAAAACCGTCCTGATTTACGCCTCAAAGCGGGGTAATCTGGGACACTTGCAATAAAAGTTAATTTTAAAATGTTTGAAGCATGCAGAGTGTACTCATCCATTACTAACAGTACTTTGAAGTCCTCCTCTTTCATTGTAAATGATGTAGATGTGAAATAAATGACATTTTCTGTGATTTTTACTTGTTTTTCCTTAATTGATATTATATTACCATATTCATTAATTACCGTATTATTAATGTGATATTACTGTATCCATGGAAATGCCATTGAGCATTGAACATGACCTTGTCCACTGTAAGCTTCATATCAGCAGCAATGTAGCATTTCTTCTGTATCTGTAAGCTTACAGGATGGTTTGTAATTTCGCATAATTTTAATCGAGTCAAGTGATTTCACTATAACAAAAAAGATTGTGAAAAACATACCTGAAACAGAAAATAATGTTTTAGTAACAACCATCATATGTTTTGGAGAAATAAATCATAGTTTAGGTCAATTACTTTTCATTCTATGATGCCCGGTGCACAATTCTATATATAGCATTCTATGTACAATTTTATGACGACCGTTGATGCACTAATTTTTTGACAAGTGAATTTTTTCTCGCTGAGCGAGGTAAATGTAATTAAAATTCTTTGTTGTGAATAAACTTTTTTTTTAACTGGAACCTTTGCTAACTGAGGTTCTACTGTAAATGCATTTTTTAAGGGTGTCCCTAATTACCCCGGGGGGGTGTCCCAAGTAGCCCCGCCGTGCAGAAATGGCTGCCATTTTTTTATGAATGAAATAGGCAAATTCTGTTGATTAAGTTTTCAAGCCGACACCTGGGTGCAACTTTTATGTAAGTAAAATTTTTTAATACGGCAAATATTTTTTTTGCTCCAGACATTAGCAGAGGTACTTTTCCAAAATTGCACTTTTCACACTTTTTTTCAGTGATTTTTTAGAGACAGTGAATGTTTGACTTCTTGACTAGCTTTATACATAATATATAGTAAGAATGTTGAAGTTTATGCCACTATTTTTAGTATTGTAATATTTTGATTAGTTTAGCTGCTACGACATTTCTACAAAATGTTGGAGGCGCATCCCGATTTACCCCGCCCGTCCCTTTTTACCCCGTTTGACAGTAGAGCAGGCAGACACAGAGGAACCTAAATGACACATATCAGAAAATTAAGACTACAGTGGTAGTAGGTATTATGATTATGAAGTCTATAGTGTCAAAACACAATAAATATTGAGTAATACACACAAGATTGTATATATATATGAAAATGTCAATACAGTTCAGAACACTTTTCAACAGCACTACCATAACATTCAACTGGCAGCTATTTCATCAACTTCTTTAATGTTCAGTTCAAGAGTGTCTAGCTTTGTTTTGAAAGATTGCCTCATGGCGTTAAACTTTGCGATAATTTTCAAATCCCTCTTTCTCTCCATTGCTTCTGCATATTCATGTGCTGCTTGCTGAAGTGACTTGATGCCCTCCTCCGTACGCCTTTTCTTCTTCTTTACCCGGCGACGCTTAGGGCTTAAAACCCATATATTGGCGACGCTGCATCCACCCTCTGCGCCGCAGCGCCCTGGTCTGCAGGCAGATTTTTTAATGCAGTCCTGGCCATGTAACCAACATCTAAACATCAACCTTATTGAGGGAAATCAAAATGCCTTTTCTTCCATGACTTTCCCTGACCTGAAATGAAATCCAATGACTTTCCCCCAGAAGTTAAAAAGTTTATGAAATAACATGTTTGCAAAGTGCATAGTACCACAATTTTTTCAATCAAACAAAAATAGATGACAAATTATGACATTAGAGCCAAGATATTTCAGAAAAAGTTTGACACACAGAATTAATTTATTTTTATATTTAAACATTAATAAAAATTATATTTTCATTTAAAAAATTTCAATTTCTAAAATGATTAATTCTATCAATTGATTCAAGCAATATCTCTGACTTTACGCAAGTTTGCAAAATTTTCGATCGATTTGACAGATATAAGTGTGTAAAATATTGATTATAACTGAGATTTGTAGCAGTCTAGCAGACAAACCTGAAGTTAAAGAGAAGAGTTGTTCATGTTGTTGTAGGCTAGTTGTAATAATGAAAAGTCTCTGCTGACTGCTCTAGCTTTAACCTAGTATGGAATATATCTACTTGGCGAGCCGCGACTGAATTTTTCGAGCCGTGGTTTTATGGATTTGCCAGCCGTGATTCCATTTCTACGTTCTATTTCACCGAGCCGTGAATTCCATATCTCGGCCATGAAAAGCCATTTACGAGGTGCGAATGCGAATTTATTTACAAAGTTTATGCACGTGTTACCCCAAATCTCTAATTTTACCCTTAAACAGTCAAACGGCAACAATAAAATTTGTCTCTACTGTAAGTTCAGCAAGTGTTAATATAGTCTGACCGCTTTGACATGACCGCAACTATGCGCGATCTTCAACAAACGTTTTGTTTATTTGTTTACATCATGGTGCCAATCCATAGGTTATTCAAAAGAACCTGTTCTTATGTCATTTTGAACCGATCAACGCTTCTTTATGGACCGATCGTAAAACACACCTTCACCGGCAAAAGCTTTCACACTTCTGAAGAAGGTGAGCTAACAGCTACACTGGCCGTGGGGCGTGGGTGGACCTAATTTGAATTTGAATGCATGCATCGATTCAAAATCCTATAGACTGTAATAGACATAGTATACAAGTCATAGAGCCTAAATTTTTAATATCTATAAAAAAATGTACGTTTCTGCATGTATTATAATGCTGTTAACATTAGCAAACTTTGAATTATCTCTGATGCAAGAAATACTTGCTTAAATCATTTTATTTTCAATATAAGCGACTGGATGCAACAATCGGTTCGCAACAAGCAACATAGCCTTGACAGCAGTCATTTCGAATTTTCGATTGACCTTAATTTCTAAATTAAAATGTATTTAGCCAGTATTTCTTGCATCAGAGATACTGTTAAGTATTTCAATGCTAACAGCATTAAAATCCACACAGAAACGTAAAATTTTAATAGGTTTTACACTGAAATTAACGATCCTAGACCAACGAACTGACACCGATTTCAAATGATAATATTACTCATAGAAGGTTAACATACAGGCTACAGTGATACAGATGCCAGCGCTAGCTAGCAGCGGGAATGAACTGAACTACTTTATTGTTTAGTCGCTTGGCTAATAATATAATAATATCGTATTCTGTTTACGTCCGGTCTCTTAAAGTGTTCCAGCAACATATTTTCCATTACTAATTATTTAAATGTATTAACTTGTGGCGCAGTAAGATATTAAATTATTTGAATTCTAAATAAAGTTCACATGTCCGCATCCAGATGCTAGTGCCAGTAGTGGCTACCAAAGGAACTACTTTATTCTTTAGTATATTTACTTTAATAACAATATATTATTCTGCTTAGGCACAGTCTCTCAAAATGTTACAGCAACATATTTTCCATTACTAATTATTTATATTTATTTGTTTGTAGTGCTACGAAATATTGCATTTTTTTATGTCACAGTCGATGTAGCTACCGCCATAATGTTTTCTTGTGACGTC